TGGAATTCCGAGATAGTCGCCTGGCTTGTGCTGTTTAAAAAAACAGGCGATATATTTACCGATCATGTCTGGAGATATTCGTTCGATACCTGCGAAGAACTCGGTCGAATAGACTGAGTCAACTCGGAGCTGGGGGATGGGGGAGGGATCTGATGTTGCCCGGTATCGCTCATCTTGGACAGTTTGATGTCTTCTCGTCGAGTCCCTCGAGAGCATAAGCCCCTTCTGACACACGGCTCCTGTCTCAGAGAACAGGGGGGCCGAGTATACTTACTCCGCCTGGACTCAGCGGACACTCTCAACCAAACGACTGCAGCTCTCAAACAACCTCTCAAGCCGCTTCTCTCAGCGGGAGGGTAAAATTATATCGACTGGTTGAGAGCTTCTGTTTTTTATGGTACTCCTTGGGCCGCTGTTCCTGCTCATAATTACTTTCTTCCCAGAAGGAGTGCGCTGCAAGCTACTCCGTACAGCCACAGACCACTCTCTACCATGGATCGGGGCCGGGGGAAATGTCGGCACAGAACCTTGTGCACACACATTTGAGCCCAGGAGGTTTCTTCTTTTCGCGATAACTTGTTCACCTCACGTTCATCGTATGGACAGTGGCGTTTCGCCTCGTCGCTACGTTGACTTCTTCATTTACCGCCGCCTAGGGTTACTTTACGTCGTAAAGCCCTTGCATTGACTGACCAAGTGAGCTACGCCGCACATCCCTAGAGTCACGGTTAGCATTGTTTATCGAGTTCTGGGTACGGATATTCCGTACTCCTGTACGACTGCACAAAACTATCCCACATGCTGTGAAGCTTACGCCGGCATTGCAACGGGCTTCCGCCCTTCCCGCGTACATACATATCCACAAAGACGGGCAGACAGGACAGTCATTGCTTCTGCGTGTTCTGAAGATCTGTGCTCCACAAGTACTGCACATTATGGGAATATATGGTCACTGCTTTCAAGCTCCTTATCCTTCCTTCTTGTTATAGATGTGAGAGAAGAGGACCATTCCTCCAGGAACTGAAAACGCTAGTATCGTACGATCAATTTCGCACGAATCCCAAGAATTAAGGGGTTATAAAATGAAGGGTGAACATGGAGGGCTGGAGCCATCTATATCGGTCGCTTCATTTTCATGGTTGAGATTGCCCTGATCTTGATCTGCCAGGATGCGCGCGGCCTACTTAAAGGTGTGTTTAAATCGGTTTGGTGCCCCTCGTCACATTATCCCTCAAGTAACCCGTAACAAAATGGCGGATTGGCGGGACAAGCAATCGTGAAGCCCATTTTCATCTATGCCACTAACTATGAGCCAATCGTATCATCCGCTCTCACCGCCTAAAACGGGTAAAGGATGAAAAAGCAGGCAAGCATTCCTGTACCAGGAAGATGGATATCCCCTTTTTCTCCTGCCGGATGTTCCTTTCTCTGATCGAGCAACCGCTTGCAGGTTGCAGCCTGAGCGCCTCACACTTCGGACATTAATAGGTGAAAGCGTGCAGCTGAAAGCCTTGCTTGCGCTCCCTGGGCTCTTACTGGTGCTGGTGGTTCCCATGCCCTGAATATACATATACCAGATATACGTGACCTTCGGCTTTACCTTAACCTGGTATATTTGAACAGGCTTAGCCGCAGGACCCAAGATGAGCTGCTCTTTGATTGACGGCTGAAATTATATGTTGTCAGTTCATAAGGTTCTCTGGGCGAGTTAACACGAGGCTATACAGCATGCGTGTACTCGTAATTAATGTTTTTTATTCCATCGTACATAAGGTATCTGGAACATTCTTGAGCTTTGACGAGGACAACATCGAGGATTCTTGAAATTTCCAGGTCTTCATTGCCAGAATACAAGGGGTGGGTGATTTCCACCGAGATCGGAATCGATGAGCCATCAAAATAATCCTTAGATTAGGTTGTCTCTAAGGTTACATGCTAGTGCCTTGCGCAGCCAGCATTGTAGGAAGAAGTTTTCCGCTGCTCCATGGTGGAAAAGCGTATAGGCGTTATCTGAGGGTCTTCTCACATGATTCCTGGGCAAAGCGGGATGAACCTAGTTGTGCATTTTTTTCGTAGTAAATCCTGAGAATATTGGAAGTGTAGAAATGAATAAAACCAGGCGAGGACTTGAGGTATATGGTATCGGAAGTCAGTGGTAATAGTAGTAAGCTGAGATAAAACCTCAGTAAATCTTATGGGGCATATGCTTCTTTCTATAAATGTGCTTCTGCGATGAAGAAAGGCTCAATACGGGGTATGGGTTAGGCTGAAATTGCCCCTCTTGTAGATTAACTGTTCAGTTATTTTAATGAAATCTCAAAGGGATCCCGATTTGTCTCAGATCAACACGTTTGTGGCTGAAGTTTATCGATCTTCCATGAAAACTGCCCCAGTATTTTCATGAGAGAGGAAATTCCGGAGTAGCGGTGGTGAGAGGCAAGGATATACAACATATGGATATGTGGCTCATCCTGAAATTGCGCCACGCTTCGCGTCGCTTCAGGTACGTAACCACATCCGTTGCTGTTGGAGCGGTGTTTAGTGGCGAATCCGGGCAGGTTTATGCAGTGATCATATATGATTCCGTTGCGACGAGGAAATCAAAAGAAAAGTGCATGCAGGGCGGAACGAGCCAACAGCTTTTGGATTAGAAAGCAACTGTCATCTCGGTGTCTGCAAACACGGGCGTGAAAGGACGAGGTCCCACCGAACAGATGTACGATGGACGTTGGAATATCTGATATCCAGAGAAAGACGACTGGACGCGGTCAAATAGCACTGATTATATAATCCATAATATACAGCCCAGTAGTTATAAATAGAAATTTAAATTACATAATATGCTAGGGTTTAGTGTAAACCAATGAAATAATTCGAAGCACAACTTCGATGAAAATAATGGCTGTAGCCAGTTTGTTCTTGAACTAACCGCCAGCGCCTGCATCTTTCATGCATCACATTTCAGGCACAACAGCAGCTGGCAAATGAGAAGCCGAAACTCGATCTCAGGCCACTTGTGCTCAAACTGAGACTGTCTTGCTCGTATCGAGATGCGCCCCTTGCCATCCACCTGATCGAAACGGGCCGCTCAGCCTATCCAATTACAGATCAACCACCATCCCCTCACCTCTGATTCTTGCGAACCTCAGCCCGGAAAACTTAATAGACTTGGCTCCGGTGATGCTCTTCAAGCTACGCGTGGGTTGGCCGAAGGTCCAAGGCAATACCCCTCGCCTACACTCTGGATGATTGGCTTAAAGCATTATTATTGTCTTTCTCCTCAATAGTGATGCTTACACGGCCGTCCCGAACATCTACCAATTCCACCATGAAAAGCGATATCAAATCATCCAAAAGAATCCCCCTGAGACATTTCACATATCAAACTTTAAAGGTCACCTAGCTTGATAGTCGGCCTGCCATTCTCCCAAAATATAGTAATCTCCTTGAGGAATATCCTGGGCTATGATGGAAATGGAAATTCCCCTTATCCTAACCCCTATAAGGCACTTATCGGCCGTGATAAGTGGAGCTCATCTCTTCTACCGGAATATGGAGCCCAGAGATAATTACACCTCCGCTTGCCTAGCTCCAGCCTTGCATTTTGACCTGGATCCAACGAGGAGATACACTGAATGACTCATAATTTGAACCAGTAATAACTGAGGAGTTCGAATGTATTACCCCATTTATGCTCAGTTTTATGAAGTATTCATCCCTGTAATATGTGCTCGCCTTATATCATGCAGATTCAACGCTTGAGCGAGCATTTTCAGGGCGACTGCGACCTGTCACTGCTCCTTTCGTTCAAGTACACATGGAAACTTGTTCAATCATTATCAAGTTCATTTAGTACTTCCTTGAGCCCAATATATCATTGGCTCCTCCACATTTAGAAGGAAGAAAATACTGAATGTTCAAAGTCAAACGGAAACTTTTGATACCGGATACGTGTATTCTTGCGGGAGAGAGTTGTGTCCGGCTCTCTTGAGTTGAGAATGAGTAATTTTACACCAGAATGCGCCCGACTTCGGTTTCAGTCTGTATTATCCACTGGAGCACAAAAAATGAAATATTTCCCCATACGCCCCGGTAAGTATGCAATATTGGTGATATATTGACTTGAGAGACCAGGAAACGTCATGGTGCGTTTTAGAATCCCTCTCCTTCCGCGGAGGAAATTCTGCATATAAGGGTTTCTATGATGCATGGCAGCCCTGTTTGGTGGATGTGCCATGTGAATTCTTAACGATGAGTCCAATGATTCTGTCTCTGTTGAATTCACCTCGGCGACCACGATTCCTTGCAATGTATGATAGAATATATTAACATATGGACTGTCTAAGCTTGTTGGCAGATAACCCCGTCTGATAAGCCTGGATACCCGACGCACAAGACTCGCCAATCCACTTCGGTATTCGTCTTCAACATCATATCCATGCAACGCGCCTGTTTTAACAAAGAAGAAAAAAAAAACAAAACCATGGGGGAATTGCTCCATCTAGCTATCACCGAGGTGTAAGTATGAACTTGGAACATATGCTTGGTGAGTTGTCCGCTGGGTATATTTCTGGAAGTATTGGTAGAGCCCCGCCAGCTCATAAAAACATATGCTGGGTTACGAGCTAGAAGAAAGACGTGGATATCACAGAGTGTGAACTGCATGGTTGATTTCCTATTAAGGGTGTAAAATAGTTAAAAAAGCAAACTGTTGACGCCCAAACGCCCGAAAGCAACTTATCCACCCATTATTTTTTTTTTTGTACAAATGAGTAACAATACAAAAAGGTATCATAGAAGCTATTTTAGTTCACTGTTGACCTTTGAGGCCCAAAAAAAAAGTAAGAGGTTCTCCATCGAAGATGGACTAATATCTCAGGTACACGAGGAATTTCGGACTCAAGAGGGGTAAAGATACCCTCGTTATGAAACAAGTTGAAGCTTGTTGCCCAATTACTGGCCGGCATTGGGATTAAGAGACCAATTGACTCTTACTCGAACTAAGAGAATCCAATGAAATCTAGCTGCTGGGAAGCATCCCCACCATCGGTGCCTTGAACAATCTCTTCTGGTTCCTCCAAGTCATCGGAATCGACATCGTCAGAGTCAATCTCTTCAAACACCTCGTCATCGCTTGAGACATCCTCCTCAGAGTCTCCTTCAGCAGATGGATCTACCTTGTTAGCGGTAAACTTGCGGATTTGACCAGCCCTGTCAACATGAGGAAGCGGACATTTCTTATTGCCACAATTCCCAGTGTTAGCATAGTCGGGGCATTCATGGACATGTCGTCCTTCACAACTGGCTCCTTTACTGCAATATCCTAAAATAGCAAAATCACGACAGACTGGAGCACCTGGCGTTATATGAACATGGGTATATCGGCAAGAGGGATTCGTGCATCGACCACGAAGGAAATGAAGACAAGCTGGGGACCTTTCAGGGCATGGATCATGTGAAAGATCACAGGCCACACCTGCATCACAATTACCTGTCTGAAGGAAGTCTTTGCAGATGGCGACTTTGTTCGGGTCATGGACATAAGGGCAAGTTGGGCCCTTGAAACAAGTACCTATAATTCAGGCGAAGAAGTTGTCAGTACTAACAAACGATATGCTCGTCTACCCAACAAAGATGCATTCATATCTAATCGGCTTGGGTGCCGTCGATGCCGATGGAATAAGTTCTGCGGAAGGAGAGACTGGTACCCGTCGATGTAAACCTCTTGCATAGCTCGTTTCTCTTTTTCACTTTTCCGGGTTTTCTTTAATGTTGTAAGTCAAAATGGTCGAGACATGAATTAAAAACGGATAACTTCTTAAGATAGCCTGTGAAGGGAAAAGGGGCAAGAAATTGCGTACTTCTTCGAAACAACAGCACCTAAGCGGTGGAGATTTCCCCGTTTGCTTCTAACAAACGTAACACCTCCGACCTTCACTCGTTTGGGGGTAACATTTGCCTTCAAAGGGTCATCTATAAACCATAAGCTGATCCTCGAACTTCTAATAGTTATCAAAAGCATATCCTCACTTGAAAGAGAGATAAGTTTGCTGCCACCTTGGGCAACTTGGAATGGTATATCTCCGACATATATGGTATAAGCCCTTCCGTCAGGCTGAGCTTCACTTCTGTTGTTCTCGGAGAAACGCGAAGCAGACTGAGCATGCCGTAAAACCATCGACTCTTCTCGCGCAGCTTTCTTTTGAGCCTTTAATCTCCGAGTCTCTGCAATCGCCTTGTTTCTAGCCTGCGTCTCCTGATCAAATATTGATGAGTTTATTAGCTGCATGTGGCGATCTCTCTTCGCTATCCACGAGTTCTTTATGCCAGGTTTGGAGTCCGGGGCTTCATTGCTTGGTGTGGACGACGAAGCCGCTGTGCTCGCCGCCTCTACCGGAATGCTTTGGTTGTTAAGCACAAGTGTCCGGTTTCTATGCGGACCGGCCGAAGCCCTTGATGCGCCTCTTCCTCTTCCACGATATGGCCTCCAACCACCGCGCGAATGTCGAGTGTACTGTGAACCTGAATACCCACTATGCATCGCTGGGTGAGACTGGTTTTTGTGTTGGTTGATTTGGCCTGGTTGACTTAGTTACTTTCTGTTCAGACACTGAGACAAATAGAGCTAGAAAAAACCTACCAGCTAACTGGCCGATCTTGGCCAGAAGCTCCTCTTCTTCAGTCATGGGAATATGACCAACAAGATAGATAACTAAATCAGATGTCAAGCTATGCTCTATTCTAGAAAAAAGTAGTGAGGATGATATAGGGGTTAAGTAGTGTGATGTTGTGAAGCTCTTTCGAACGCGCTGCCAGGCCCTTCCAATTATCTAATCATCGGATTTTACTTATTCCTTTACAAAAGTTTAATTCCGTGGATTGCTCCTACCAATCCAGGTAGAGATAAACAGGCCCTTCAGGCAAAAATTCAAAGGACATGGTTCTTAGCCATTTAGTTATCATTAATATTCTTCATGTATTGTCATTTATAATACAGAAATGGTAGGATAATGTGAGAGATCTATCAGCCTGTTGGTGGAAGCACAGCTAATAGTAAGACTGTGATCCCATCACACATTTTCAAATTTCACATTGTCATCCTCATCCGCATCAGTCCCTCTGCCAGATGCAGTGGGTTCTCCTTCTGACCCTTCATCAAAGCTGTACCCAGCCGTTGGGGGTAATTCTTCCTTCGCGTCCCTATACGCGATGGCGTCTGCATAATTACTTTCCCTTGCCTCGGGCTTCAACTCCCAAGTCATGGCGAAGTCGCCGCTTTTAACCAGATGTGCCACTATCTCTAGGGTTTGTTTGAGATACACTTCCGGTTGCTGCAGTTCAGCCTTAAGCGCCTTAAAGGGCCAATACTTGTGTCTCCGGAAACAGGCATAGATAAGGTCCAGAAGTTCGTTCTGGGGCATACGGGCAGTTTTGTTTTCCTGAGCGCGCACTTTTGCCGGCTTCGCAATTTGCTGTAGAAAGTTAGACAAAACCCAGCCACTGTAAAGGACATAACTGGACTCACAATAAAATTGGACTTGTCGGCAGCAGCAACTGTCTTCGGTTGAAGCATCTTTCCAGGTACTTTCTCGATAAACTTGGTTTCTCGTTTGGGTTTGAGGGATTCCAATGCTCGCTCTTCTGCGAGTCTTTGGTATTCTTCATTTTCAACAGGAAGACAGTTGAATTCATCGTGAACCCGAGCAGTGATAGCCGTTTGTCCTAAGAGAAAGAATAAGCTTCATTTCATGGTAAATATCCAGTCTGTTTGGGACATACTCGGTACCGTCTTCCTGACATAGGGCTCCCACTTCTTTTTCCGCTCTTTCTTCTTTGCATCACGTTTTGTCTGCTCGTAAAGATAAGACCGACCGTACGGCTGGTTTTCATTGTAAAATCGATTCATCTTATCCTTATATCCTGGGAGATCCTTCTCCGTAAAGACAAATGTGTTCTGCACCGCGTATGCTGATCGATCCGCGTTCACATTCTGTCGTCTTAGGTTGTAGTCTTTCGGCACGCCTTTATTCTGAGGTATATCAAGTAATCGCAAACTTATCTAAATGCAATACGTCAGTGTCACTGTGTATGTAGACTATCGCATATGAAGAGGCGACTGGTGGAAATACTCTTTTGATATCTGTCGGGTCTCCTTCAACCCTGACTGTGCCGATCTGGATTTCCTCATCATCATCGAGTTTAGACCACTGCTCCCACAAATTCCGAGGTATCCGCGTCAGCCAGACATTCTGGAAAGCATTTGTGAAATCCAGATCTCCAGTATCTTCATAAATATCCTCGTCCGACATGTTTGTGTCCTTCGTGTCAGGCTCTTCCTTGATCCCTGGATTGGCAAGGGGTTCAGCCTTGATCTGCCCGGTGTTCAAGTTGGCCATATTCATATAAGTGTGGTTTTGGCTGTGTTGTTGTAGCGCTTGTAATAGAAAGTGGAATGAATGAATGAATAAATAGCTGAATGAAGTGTTGCTCAGTTTGTGAAGCTTTCGTTCACTTACGATGTATGAGGTCAGAGACTTGATGACTAAGCGCGCGCCAATCTTCATTGGTTAGTTTTCATTGGTTAGTTACTTATCTCAGAGCTTCGCTCTCATCTTTATCTCGACCGTGGAGTTTACACCCAACACTTTCTATCCTATAGACCATGCTCCCCCGTTTCTTTGACTTATTCGCTTCTAGGTCATTTTAGCCAGCAATAAAGATGGAATCCCTCAACCGCGACCCCACAGTTGACTCGGAGTTTGCCAATGAATTTGCGGAAATCGAATCTACACACGATCAGCGAGCCAAAGCACAGCTCTACAGCGAGCTTCTCTCCAAAATAATCAACAAACCTTCTAATTCTCTTGCACGAGACCTTACCCTCTTCTTTGGGGCTATTTTTGGCAGTGAAATAAGTGTCATTGCAACCCGGCCTCTCCTTGATAGGTTCATTAGCTCTCTCAAGCCTCTCCCCGCAAATATTAGGATACAAGTCGGACTACCTGCTATCACTGTCCTTCAGACGCGCGCAACTTCAGTTGAGGAGCAAGATGCACTCTTACGTGAGACACTTGCAGATGCATACGAGGAAGTGGAAGAATACTCCGACGCTGCAAGAGTTCTGCAGGGAATTCACCTGGACAGCTCGCAGCGGCATATAAGCGATGAAGAAAAGATTCGCATGTGGATTAGGATAATACGTTTATACTTAGAAGACGATGACGCGGGTGGCGCTGAAATGTTTCTACACAAAATAAAAAATCTGCCAACCAAAACCGAGGACCCGGCTCTACAGTTACATTTCCAATTATCCCAGGCCAGAATTCTTGATGCACGACGACGGTTTCTTGAGGCCAGCCAGGAATATTTTGCTGTTAGCTTAGCTAGCGGTGTAGATGAAGAAGATCGGTTGCAAGCTCTTTCTGCGGCAATCAGATGCGTGGTTTTAGCTCCCGCCGGACCCCAGAGATCACGAGCATTGTCCAGGTTATATAAAGATGACAGGTCTTCTTCTCTGGAAGAATATAGTATCTTAGAGAAGATATTCCGTGACCAGTTGTTGACAGAAGACGAAGTTTCCAATTTTGCTTCTGGTTTAGTTCCCCATCAACTGGCACAGACAGCCGACGGATTGACTGTGCTAGATAAGGCAGTTATCGAACACAACCTTCTAGCCGCCTCTAGGCTATACGAGAACATCCGAGTAGATGATCTAGGCTTGATTCTGGGCCTTAAAGCATCAGGCGAGATGACTGCCGGCGAGAAGGCAGAGGCCTACGCTGCCAGAATGTTGGAACAAGGCCGTCTGAAGGGAAGTATTGACCAAATTGAGGGTGTAATCAGCTTCAACTCCGAGATATATGGGGATGGGAGGACTGGCCGTAGTCTGAGATATTGGGATGCAGGAGTTCAACATCTTGCTCAGGATGTGGAAAATGTAGCAGCTGCTATCATGGATGAATTTCCAGTAAGTTATGTCTTTCTAGCTTTGAAATGACTGATGTTGACTTGCATTCAAGGAATTTTCTACTACTCAAATGGTGCATTAGTCTATGATCAGAGCACAAATAGTACTACTATGAATAAAGAGTAGTTATACGATTCAATAACCCCTGATCGTTTTATTGGGCAGAATACAACTTCCATTCCCCGCCTGCACATGCCCTTTACGGTATATCTACAGGTAACTAAGTGTTCTACCAAAGACTAGAATTGATGCAAAGTTTGACTGAACTACAAAAATAAATAAGATAAAATAAGTCTAGGGCGTTTAGTTAACTAGATTTTTTGATTGGTTATCGTTAGTCCTGGTTTCCTTATTTCTCGGAGCATTATTGGTTTCACATTGTTGAAAGGGTAAACAGAGCCACAACATAGGCACATTCCACTCAATTGGGGAAGTGTCTCCTGCGTAGATAGCAAGATAAGAGGAGTAATGGAGGTTTTAGGGTGACTTGCTAATATAATATGGTTCCTATACAGCAGTCAAAAGGGTCTAAAACTGCCATTGATTTATCCATGTGGCCATCAAGTTTGCTGAAATCGGCCCCATCGATTGCATGGTTTTGCTTGCCTCTCTGGCCCTCCTCACACAGATTGGTACAGACAGAGCACCCTCCCCCTCTACCAAGCTTTTGTAGAATGGGAGTAGCTTCAACGCGGGTTTCTCCAACATATCCTGATCTGAGGGGTTCTGAATCTTCTCCAGTTCTGCTATCCACTCATTCATAGGAACTCGCTGAACTGCATAACGTTCGTGAAGAGGTGTCAATAGAGATTCCCACGGAGTAGTCAGTGGGTTGACCAAGTGGAAGACGGAGCACCGTGAGTCAGCCTCTGTGATTCGACGGGATTCAACGATCTCTGTTATTATAGTAGCAAGAGTATCCTACTCCAGTCTACGGTTAGCTAATTTTTGATGAAGTAGTTGAGTAACTGGAAAAATAGTGATACATACCACCGGAATCCAATCTACAGGCATGGATCCCAAAGTTTTGGGAATCTTTGCGATAGATTTCGATGTTGCAACAATGGATGGTAGCCATTCTGTTGAATTCCAGGCACCTTCATCAGTGGTTGGGCCTGCAATCTGGCCTAGGCGAAGAATAGTTATTGGAACACCAGCTCGAGATGCTGCGTGACAGATACGTTCACAAACATGCTTAGCTTGTCCGTATCCTTGATTGAGCGTTACTTCGCAATTTTCAAACAATTCCTCGGGTACCGACGGCCCATCAGCAAGTGTCCAACCTCCAATTGCTCCAATTGAGGAGTTGAAATAGAAATGAGCGCGGCGTACGCTGTGCAAGCTGAAGTCAATGAGCCGGCGAACACTTTGTATTTGATCCTCAAACGAATACAGGGAAATGTTGAAGTCCATTCTCCAAGAATTATGGATAACCGTATCTACCGTGTAGATTAGTTCGTCGTATTTCTCCTTTTCCAGACCAAGTCGCTCTTTGCTTAGTGAAGCAGTAAGAAATTCGGCCTTTTCCAGGAGTTCAGTTTTTAGTCCCTTATGTTTAAAGCTCTCAGTTTGCCGTTCCCCTACGTGTGATCGGTTCAAACAGTATACTTTGGCAACACTGTTATCGCTTAGAAGACGATGTAGTAGATAAGTACCAAGAGAGCCTGTGGATCCAGTCAATATCACGGAATGCGTCTTGGTGGCTTCGAGGTCTGGGAGACCAGCTGTATACTTGCTGAGAAGCAAGTTGACATTCTCTAAGCGACAAATGCCGTTGCTTTCGACGCCATTAAGAAGCGAAAATAAAATTTGGACAGCTTTCCAACAGTCGGATGTGCATATATCATCTGAGGCGTTAAGGAAGTGAACCCCGTTCTATTGAGAATGATACTCAAGTGAAAGGTTTGCAAAGAATCAAATCCCACGCTGTAAAGATCTGTCTCATCCGCAATTCTGGGTAGGCCAATGGAGTCGCATATAATCTCCCGCACTGATTCCGTGACACTGTCTAGATCGGCCGACTCAGAGAACGCATAGTCAAACGCTTGATCTGCCGGATTCGTGTACAGCTTATCAATTTCTTCCTTGTAGCTATCGGCTACAAGGCGCCTCTGCGTACTTCCCTTTGGCGTGGTTTTAAAAGGTTTGCTGCGAGATGCTAGGCCTATCCTGTTCTTCATAACCCGTCCATAAGCTGGACTAATGGTGTTTGCTTCTCGTACTGTAGGCCAGATTTCATCAACAAATTGATTTCTGGGGCTGCTTTCATCCCAAAGGTTCCAGTTAGGTTCCACTAGTAATGCTGTCTGGAACCTTGCTAATCCAACAACAATAGCGCGTGAAACTAACGGATGGCCCTCGATGACTTTCTCCATGGTAACAGGATTGAATTTCTGGCCATTGCTAAGTACGATCACATCATCAATCCGACCGTGGAACTTCCAGAGTCCCGGTTTTGTTGGATGTGGGGTATAAACATCCTTTGTGCGATATTCATCTAGTTCAGGGAAAGTATTGAAAATGGGCTGGAGGTCCGGATTCTCATTTCTGTGTATGACCATTTCAGACCTGCCATCATCTATTGGTTCCATTTTAATCCCAAATGATGAGCTCCACTCAAAGTAAGACCAGTCCTCCTTTTCCTGGGAAACCAAAGATAAAACATATCCAGCTTCGGTCATCCCAATAGAGTTGATTAGTTTGGTTCGCTGGCAGATCTTATTGCCAATCTCGGATGCAAGCGGACCACCTCCATAGTATACGTGTCTTAGAGTTGAAAGCGCTTCCATGGCTTTGGGAGACGTGGACATATCCTCGAGAATGCAAGGGGCAACTAGTGCAGCAGTTGGCTTGAGAGAATCAATCACTGAGGATAAAAACTCGTTGGACACGGGCCGGTCAGGTAAGATAACACATGGTATCTTGTGAAATGCAGCCATTACAAATACTGTAAAGCCCATCAAGTGGAAGAAAGGAGTTGTAGCCAAGATGAGATCACTGGGGTTAAGCCGATCTGGAACACCCGCTGTCCTGTCTGGCGGTATAGGTACGTAAGCACCATGATCTAGAGCAGCAAAGAAACCATAAGTGAGTCGTATCGGCTTCGGGAAACCTTCATATACGTTTGTTAGTATGTTAGAAGCCGCTGATACATTGTCATAAGCAATGCTTACCAGTTGTACCTGAACTATGTCCAATAAATGCTACTTCGTTTTTGATATCGTCGAAGTGCTTCGAGAATGGGTATGGACTGGAGTTGCCTTCAAACATCTCATACAGAGAAGGAATCTGGACGCTTTGCAATCCTGGAAAGAGCTCCTGTATCTTGTCCACTGTCTGTTTCCTCTCAACACTATAAGCAACTTTCGTGCAACCTGTCATTTCCAGAAGGCAAACTTGAGCTGTATGAGAGTTCCGAACAGATGTTAGTTGCGGCTAGAATAACGTTAGAACTACTGATACCATTGGATTAATATTTTCCGGTTGCTACTTACCTGATACCCAGTCTTATTGCAGGCCGTAACCATAATTAGGTAGCGGATATCGTGTGCTCCAAGGTAAGCCAATGTCACTGGCGAGGACGTGCTACCAAAAGTTTCCTCTATCCACCAGCACATGTAATTTACCGCATGGGCCAGCCGTTCGAATGTGAGGTCGGAATAACCGCCTGGACAGTCGGAGCCCTTTGGTATAATGCAAAAGCGTCTGTTTGGATCCAACTCAGCAACATGATCAATGGCCTGGGCCATGAATCTTCGGCCAATTGGTTCAGCTTTCTCAACTGTCATATTTGGGTATCACGAAAGTAAGTAGTCAATTACTTGCTTTGTGGGAGCCTCAGGTGTGTATGGTAACAAATGCTAATAAATTTATCAAATTCACTTATATCAATGAAAAGGAGAAGAATACTTTAAGAGTTTCAGACAGAAATCCACCTTGCCAACTGGGATTATATCTGGTTCCAAATTCACTTTATATCCTCGGGCAAAGTCAGCTCTGTTATGGAGTATGGTGATGGATATTTTGTTCCCGCTCTCCGAGTCTATGAATACGCAATTGCAAAAAATTACCGTCTGCCGCCCCTTCGGACCGTGATCTTCCTTCGTATAGGCACAAGCCTATGAACACAAGGAAGCAGAAAAGGGCCGCTGGTGGAGTGGAAAGCATTGGTTACCCGCATTTCTTCCATCGATGCAGATCACTGGGGTATTCCCAAACCATGCAAGTTCATGCCACTCTTTTCCGATTGGTGCAGTCGTCCAGCATGAAGGACATACTCCGTACTTGCTATCTCATTGCCACAGTGCCATGTTGTCAGATGTTTGGGTGTGTCTCTTTCACCGAGGCTATGGGATAAGATTTACGGTTCTCTTGGTCCGATCCAGCGCCTTTCTCCCGTAGGGTGTTAATTGAGTAGTAAAGTTATTTGATGAACAAGTAATGCACGTAGATATTGTGGCGTAATGGACAGAGCTCGGTGGGATGATATCGTGGTCATCGCTGACAGAGCGGTTCACCGCATCAGAGGTCATGCTGCACGACGCATCATTTATCTAGGGAATGTACTCCCTAGATATATGTTATTATATCAGTCGTGTGATGTCATCTGCTCGATTTTTTGCTGAGCTTCTTCCACATCCAAAGGCGTCTCTTGCTGCGTCAAAGTTTTTAGAGACATAAACACACTGCTTAGGTAATGGAAATATCATGTGATATACCGAAATTTAGCCGCAACTTTGAAGTGGAGTATCGGAAACTCTAAAATCTCCCAAGATTGAGTTAAAGAGGACAACGCGCGGGTGGGTGCTACAAGTTGATTTTTTTTTTTTTTTATCTCTCTGCTCTGGTTGACCTGGCTCGTTAAATACCCAAAATATGAAAAGCAATGGTTTTCAAGCAGGCAGCAACGAATAGTTAAGCTCTGCATACCATGGTAAAACAAGCCTATACGTCATATTTACTGAATACGTCTCTTTCTGCACATGCAAACTCTGCGTCAATCGTTTCCTGGTGGCGGGCAGAGCGGAGGTTGATCTTCACAGGGAATGGCTTTGGACAGCGCAGGAAACCGTCTGTATAGCCAGTGGCAGGATCAGTGTTTATGTGAAGCGGATGGCCTTGGGCATCACGCATAGGCGAGATGTCAAAGGCCCAAAGAATCTTCGCCATGGCGAGAAAGAGCCCTCTTTCAGCCAGGTGAATGCCAGGGCAAATGCGCCGACCGGACCCATATGCATAGTGATCGCGGTTTTCATAGTCTGGTGAGGAGGCGTATATCGGTGCGAGATCAACACGCCCCTTATATCTCAGTGGATTGAACTGGTTCGGGTTGAAATGTTTGCGGCTGTCATGATGCAACCCCCATATATTGGGTATAACGGTCGAGCCCGCAGGGATGGTCATTCCGTCGATCACAGTTTCTACAGGAAAAGTGTATGCGTGTTATTTGGGCACAAGTGACATGGGATTATTCTTATCAGGATCATCACTCACCTTTACTGGTAGCGTGTGGAAAAGCTGTTGGCAGAACCGGGCGCCATCTCATCGTCTCCTTCACAACCATAGCCACGTATGGTAGATTTACATAGTCTTTCCATTCTGGGGATCGTTTTTCACCGATAATTGCGTCAATCTCTTCCTGTGCTTCCTTCTGCACATCAGGATATAATGCCATGGCCTGGATGAAGACAATTGTCATAATGGAAGTGGTGTCGGAGCCTCCTTCGAGAAGATTTCCAACCATCAAATCAATTTCGTGCCTCGTAAGTTGGAGTTTCTCTTGCTGGTCTAAAACCATATCCAGGTAACTCTCACGAAATTCTGAACCCGACTCACGGCGCTTCAGAACACGGTCAACAAGAGGTCCATATACCTTGTCCATAGTTTGGGCAACTTCTCGTGCCCGTGATTTCCAGTTATTGAATAATGACTCTGGGAGCCATGCAAGGAAGGGGAAAATATCGATAGGTGGGGTGGCTCCTGGCTCAAAAATTTCTGAGATACCGTCCAATACAGCATACAGGTGGCGCATATGTGGAGCGGAAGCAGCTGGCGTTCGAATGCCAGTAACTAAAGACTCCAGTCAGCAGGAATGTACATTGGGGGAGGTAGTTGTTTTTCACAGTAAATTGAAAATATTTCGAGGCACTTACCAAGGCTCATAGTAGTGCTGTTCGTGAATCTTTTGCAATGATCCATAAAGCCGTCAGGTTCAACGTAGAGATCCCGTAGTAATTGGACGGCCTCAGCATTTTGGAGAGATACATGTTTCCTCTCACAAGCAGTTTCGTTAAAATATTGGTGATAGAGTCTTCGGCCGCGTCGCCATCGAGTGTCCGGGCCCATGAACATGAGGTGGTCACCATGCATAACCAGATGGTCAGCAATATAAAACTTGGGTCTTTCGCTGTAGATGGCAGACTGCTTATCTATCAACTGCTTGATCATATAAGGGGAATTGAGAACAACAGCTGTCCCTGGGCCGATTTTGAGCGAGAAAATAGGGCCATATTTGGCTGCCCACTCGGTAAATCTGCCAAAGATATATTAGATCTCATGGATAAGAGACTTAGGATCATATACATACTTCAAATGCGCTCCGGTTATTGGGATTTGATGTAAGTTACCAATTATTGGGAGACATGGGGGACCTGGCGAAAACCAATAATTAACAATGATAGATATATGTCATATTCTCTCATCAATATAAACATACCCGGTTGAAGTTTTCGGTTACGAAGCCCAGGAACATACCCCCGAAAGAGGGTCCAAAGGGTGAGCAGAATAAGGATGGCACCGTAAATCCAGATAGAGTCCATAGTCGGTGAGCTGGAGAATGGAAGATACAGGAACATTTTTTTCCTCGTCAAGTGCCTTCTTAATCCTTTACTTTGACCCTATCTGTCAGCCGTCGATAGCTGTATTTAACTAACAATTACCACTATCACTAAGCGATGCATATATGACGGTGTTGATCGGCATTAATCCCACTCACCGAGTAATTCATCCCACACGGCTCGGAGAATATAAGCTTTCTAATCTCAATATCAAGCAAAGCAAAACTCAAGGTACTGGTTATTTAAGAAGACAGTTGAAGTTCAAGATTCATGGGAATATCAAATTCGCTAACTGGTCTTGAACTATCCCTTATCCCTTTCTCCCATACATTACAAGGTCCCTCACGTCTTTTTTACCATGTCTGCTCTATCGTTTCTGTACTCCCAGATATTTGTTCGCCTCCCAGCCCCTAAGCATGATTTCACTGGGCAAACCATTGTCATCACTGGCGGCAATGCAGGACTTGGGTTGGAAGCTGCACGGTACTTCCTCAACCTGAATGCATCCGAGATCATCCTTGGTGTTCGAAGCCTCGCAAAGGGTGAAAATGCAATTAAGGATTTGGAGAGTTCTACCGGGCGGTCAGGCCAAATCCGTCTCTTTCATATAGATATGGAAAATTATGCGTCCGTTCAGGAGTTTGCTGCCTCTATTTCCAAACTGCCGAAGGTTGACGTTCTTATGCTCAACGCCGGGAAGCTGGAGCAAAAATTTTACCTGGCGGAGGAGGATGAGAGCACAATCACAGTCAATGTTGTTAGCACCTTCCTGCTGGCCCTGTTGTTATTGCCAAAACTTCGCGCTTCGGCTACCGAGAAAGGACCAATCCCTCGACTCTGTATTGTGGCATCCGACCGACATGTCATGACCAATTTGCCTGAATGGAAAACTCCCAACACGTTTGTTACTTTGCGAAAGCAGACGGAGTCAGGACCTGACGATAGGTATCACCATAAGAGACCACTGTGCCCATAGATGACTATACTGAACAACAAGCTAACAGAGAATAAAATAGATATTATGCCTCGAAATTGCTCCAAGTGTTATGCATGAGGGCACTGGCAGCAGATATAGCTTCCACAACTCCCCAAGTTGTTGTCAACGCCTTTACCCCAGGATATTGTCTCACCAATCTAGTTGATGGGGTAACAGGATTCTGGGGGCTCCAGCTTCAAATTATGAAATTGATAGCCCGATCAGCCCAAGAAGGATCCCGCACACTGGTTCATGCCGCTACCTTGGGTTGGGAAGGGCATGGACAATATCTCAATGACTGCAAGATCGACGAGTAAGTTTCCTCAAAACTGGTCTCTGCAGTAGTTAAAGAAAGCTAACAAAATTAGGGGCGCCTTATCCAAATTCGTGAAGAGTTCAAATGGGGCACAGGCACAGAAGAAAGTTTGGGGAGAATTGCTGGAGAAATTGGAAAAAATCTCCCCGGGGATATCTGGAAACATTTAATAGAATACCTACGGAGTACCTTAGCAGTAAATGATAACAACAGCCACAGGTGCCTAAAGGACACTACCGATGGGAGAAACATTGCAGTTTTTTTCCTTTTCCTTTTTCCTTTTTTCCTATTTTTCTTTCTTTTGTTTTT